CTTTATTTGAAACATTGTTTTTATTTGACAAAGCTTTTATTTCCTCGTTAACGTCTTGTTCCATTTATAGTTAAACAGATGTTATGTCATTTGGTATTTTCTAACATCTATTTTTTTCTGAAGAAGACAAAAATTTAATGTTGAAAGCTAAAAAAAAAGTGTTTGTTTTTTATTGAACTGATCATAATTATATATTGCAAAATCTGTTATCATGAGGCCAGATCGAGTCACAAATCTTTACTTATAAATTCATTATAAAGGACAAAATGGAATTATAATTATAGAAAAAGCTGTCAGTGGGACTACTCTCAGTGATTGATTAAGTAAAACAAGAGCCTGAATAATGTCAAATTTTCTAAGTTTAAAAAGGGCCATTATTCTGTAAAAAAAAATCCATGTAAAAGTTATGGGTCTTGGATTATCACCTCCAATTATTTTAGTCATGATATGATATATAAAATTATGCAAATTTATAGTTTACAGTTTTTCAAATTTAAAGATTTTCAAAGCGTAATTAACATTACAACATCATCTGCTTAATATCTGTAATGTTTGTTTGTTTTTGTTTGTTTGTTTGTTTGAGAAAAATAGGTTGCATAATTATTCAAAGTGGGCTAGATCTAGTATAAATTACCTACAAATTTAGCAGGATGAGGCAGATTTTAATGTTCACAAATGTGGTTCTAAATTTACTATTTTAAGCTACGCAAATTTTTCTTTGTAATACAATTTCATCGAAGTGTAAAATCAAACATTTTTCGCCCCCAAAAAAATTACAATACATTGTTATAATGTAATAAAACGTTTGGGTATTAGAATAATTGAATATTTCCCTTAAAATATAAGCACAATTTCAATGCATAAATATTCAATGCAATTCTGCTGTTGAGTTAATGTAAATTTCCAACAAATGGGAAGTGATCAAGTATTCAAGTTGGCTGGGGCATGTTAAAAGATATATGAATTATTTATTTCCTTTACAGGGCATTTTAAGGTAAGGTACAATGGTGGGTGTACGACTGTACGATGTTGGGTGTACATGATGGTGAATATACATATACGATGTTGGGAATACATGTACGATGTTGGGAATACATGTACGATGTTGGGTGTATATGTACAATGTTTGGTGTACATGTACAGTGGTGGGTGTACATGTACAATGGTGGGTGTACATGTACCATGGTGTATGATATTACGATGTTTGGTGTACATGTACAAGTCAAATATTAGAAACTTGCCATAACACACTTACCTTCGACATTAAATATGATATAATTTCAGGTTTTCATAGCTAGTCCAGCGTAATAGATTCACTAATCGTTAGTGCACTGTGAATTGTAGATAATGGTAAAAGTTTGTTGGTACCAAGGATCTACCCAAAGTGAAAAAACCCAAACAAATGTTGCAGACTCGATTTGAATGCACCTGTTCATGGACAGTACTGGAAAATGCAAGGAACTGTCCACGGCCCTAGCACCGGCTTAAGCAGTATTCAACATTTAAACATGTAATAGTAAAATTTTGAAATAAGAAACATCCGCAGCTCTCCAAAACCTTAAAACAGTTGCATCGAAAACTGAATGGAGAATAATTATTATTATTATAACTCTATACATATCACATAAAGCTCTTTTTTGTGGCACTATTGTGAAACTATTCAAATCAAAAATATATCAGTGAATCAATGAAATGGTAATGGCCGCATCAAAAACCAACTAAAAGCTACCTACATTGTATGTTATTGCAGCCCTTGTGGTTAACTGTTAAAGCCTTCAGCGATTCATGTGAACTAAAACTCGTACAATAATCTCACATTTTGCATCTAGAGTGATTTCTATTTTTATCCACGCTGCCTAGACATGTATGACACAAAAAAATGTTGTCTAAATACAGGGCACATATCATGGTCCATATACAAGGGAGATAAATGAGACCAAAAAATGTCTTCTGCAACTAATACATTTAGACCTAATACAAGGGACATCAATCTGACAATAATAAAGTTGAGCATACAAGAGTTACCCTTCCTAACATACTTAAGATTTTAAATCATTACATGACATCAATAGTGGTTTATAAGATTACAGTTACAATAAATATGTATACAAGTGGTTATTAAACAGATAAAACTTAAAACAAACTTTAATCAAAAAGGACTAAAAAAGGGGGGAAAAAATCGTGTATTAGTGTTCAAAACAAATGCGATACCAGCTAGCTACAAAAAAAAGAAACATGGTGAAAAAACAACAAAAACATAAAATTAGGCGACTGAAAAAACAAAACAACAACAGATAATTAAGTGACGTAATTAATTATCTAAACAAAATATTATTAATCATGGGAGAACTAAAACAAATGTTTCAATATTGAATGACAAAAACATTATTTTATGAATAAATATTTCAGCAAGTCTGGCTGTTTGTAAGTCACAAAGCACAATGTACACTCCATGGTCCACTTAAACTTTTTTTGGAATAACTAGGTTTTACCATTGGGCTTAAACCAGAAATAATCACTTTTATGTGACTCCTAGTTATATAAAGGTAACAATTCCTCAATAATTGATCTTTATTGTATTATGTATCAATTTTCAGTCTAAAATCCACAATTTTTTGCATTGAACTTGATCGCAAGTGGAAGTCTTAGCGGACAAGTTGTGTGCACTATGACAATGGGTATAAATTTATGTAGTCACTGAACAAAATTTAATAGTTTACCACATCAAACATAATCATGATTATTGATTTTTTTGGGGGATATAATTTTCAATGTCAAATACTGAAAAAATTTAATTTCAGTTCTCCAAAATCTTGGCACTAAAAGAAAGCAGTAGTATTAAACAAAATCAGAAAAACATAAAATGTGACTTTGCTATGTATTCTTTATATACTTAATTATAAAATTCAAGCCAAAAAAGCTCCTTTCTCTAAAAGGCATTGCAAACAATGTAATTAACAAAGATGTAAAGGGAGAGAACTCTTCAATTGATATTTGAGTGTGAAAAGAGGGATAACTCTTAATTTGATATTTTGATGATTAAAAGGGGGACAACTTTTCAATATATATTTCATAATGAAAAGGGGGAAGGACACTTTTTGTTAATACTTCAGGACAACTTTTCAGTTGTTATTTGATTAAGAAAGGGGGGTAACTCTTCTGTTAATAATTGACTTTGAACAGAGAGAGGGACAATATTAGACTATGAAAGGGAGACAACTCTTCAGCATATATTTGATTAAGAAAAAGGGGGAAAACTTTGCAGTTTAGATTTTGATTATGAAACAAATTATCAGCTATTTAATAAAATTCTATTATTAAAAACTTATTTTACCAGTTGATTTGTTTTCTGCCAATACATCTTTATTATTAACGTGTTTATAAAATAGTTTGTTAGATATAAGCATACAACTGAACGGAACATAAACAAATAAACTACAACTAACATAATTTTATTGAAATATGTTTGAACTTTTCAATAAAGCAGTGTTAAGATTTAAGTAACAATAAGTACCAACAAGTAATTCTTTTTTTAGTAATGGCAGATTTTTTTATTTTTTTTTGTAAAAATGGCATTTTTTAGTTTTTTTCTTGGTCATGATAGCACTATTAAAATTGTTTGGTTGCAGTGGCACACTTTTGTTGGGTCACAATGGCACATGATGGGTTTTTTGGGTCACAATTGTATTTGTTGGGTCACATTGTGGCACAACTAAGTTTTGTTGGGTCACAATAGAACAATTAAGTTTTGTTATGGCACAACAGCACATTTTTGTTTTGTTTGGTCACAATGGTATTATGATAACATTTGTTTTGTTAGGTGCTGGTAGAACATTTTACCTTTGTTGGAACACATTAAAACATTTTTTTTGGTTTTATTGGGTAACAATGGCAAATTTTTGGTTTTGTTGGACCACTTTGGCACATTTTTGTTTTGTTTTGTTTGGATCACAACGGCAATTTTTGGTTTTGTTATGCCAAAATGGCTGAATTTTGTTGGGATTTTTTTGTGTGTCACAGTGGCTTTTTTTTTTTTTACTTGGCAACAATGTTTTGTTTTGTTGTGTACCTTTCTTCCTTTTTTCAAAATTCTTTGAGTAACTAAAAGTTCAAATATATTTCAAAAACATAAAAACACTGAAATAAAGCAAAAATCAACATTTATTTTGTAACTATTTACCTTGGTCTAACTACTATGAGCTAAATGTATGGAGGGGAAAGAAAATAAGCAAATATACAGAAAATAAATCTCATCACTTTATACATGAATATATATTTGTGTATCACCCTTAAACACTGTCAATAACAAAGCGAAATACTTGTACAAGGCACACACATAACAATTGGAAAAGTTTGGATAGGAAAATACTTGTAACTCTATAATGGAAGTTTTAATCAGAAGTTACAAGTTTATTTCTCTCCAAACACTCAATATATCTAATTATATAATATAATATATATAAATTACAAACATGCATTATAATGAAAGTAAACAATTAAAATGTTTCATGTCATTTCCATGTATATATGAATAAGTTTTAAAGATTTTATAGCCCACTTAAGTGCTATATAATGCAAATACTCAATATTATTATAAATTAGTATAGATTCACTAATATTTTTAATGAATAAGTTTGATATTTACGAGTTTAACTTTCCAGTCATTAAAAGAATTTATACCAATTTTTTGTTTTTATGAAAATATAAAATCATAAACTTAATTTCTAAACTTATGACTGTATCAGCCACAGTAACTTTATTATTTCATAAAATCATTATTTCAATAGAGATTGGTCAAAATGATAGCGCTTCGAAATACCAATTATTAACCTCATTCCTAATATTATTCAATATCATTATAAAATAAAATCCATTTTTTCTCAGATTTGTTATAAAATCCAGCAAAATATTCAATTTAAACCAATATTCAAAATCCAAAAATTCACTGTCACACTAGCATGCTAAAAATAGAATAAAATGCTATTTATAGTAACACTTACAGTCAGCTTGACAATTTCCTCTTCATGTTCCTTCTTCAGCTCCTCAATCTCCTGCTGGTGTGACCTGTGCATGCTGCTCAACTGTTCTCTGTGCAGCTTTTCCATTTCTAAAAATAGAATCACAGAAAAAATATTCTAAAAATAGAATCACAGAATTTTTTTTTCTAAATATAGAATCAGAGATATAAGTCATATAGAACAAGATACAACTCCTGTCAAATATGAAGGCAAAGACAACATGTCCTTACAGAAAACTCATTTGAAATATAGAATTAGACACAGTTATTCTTCATATAAAATTAGAGTCAACTCATTCTAAATATGCAAGCAGAGTCAACTTATTCAAAGGCAAACTGGGGCTTGCTTTTTTGTCATATAAAAATATTGGGATTGCTTTTTCATTACGGATTATAAATCTATCAGGTAAGATATTTTTCTTCTAAAAAAAAATTGTGAGTGTGCTCATTAGAGGGTGGGAAACAATATGGTATGTGTATCTTATAATGTAGATTATTTATTAAGATAATTAATTATTCCATATATTGAATAAAGAAAACCTTGTATACAGATTACAAAAAATTATCATGGTTGGGACAAAGGTTGCTTTATATGAGTTTCACTGTATTACCTCTCTCAGCATCCCCAACTGCCATTTTCTTAGTCTCCACTTCCTCTTGTAACTTGGCAAGCTTTTCCTGATAAATGTAACACAGAATTTATTACAATTTTTAAAATTTTACGTGACACATTTCCTTTAAAGCTGAAAATGAAAAACAAGGAATATCAAATTAATTATTATATAGTTTTATTTATTTTTTTCTTAATAATAACAATGTTTGGAAAGTTACAGTAACTAAATGACACTAGCATTTTTAGTATTTCATCTCAAATAATTAACATTCTGAATACTATATACCATCAAATTCTGAACCAATAATTGTTTTTAAAGTGGCACACCCACAGATGAATAAAATAAATCTTCAGAAAAAAAAACAAAAAAAACTTAAGATAAATACATGTACAGTTTAAGAAATGTATAAATACTGACACTACAGGTTTAATTTTAAATGTTTTATAAAATATATGACAGAAATTGATATTTAAATCACCAAAATGTCTTCCCTATTGCTAAAATTAGTAACATAAAATGTCTGCATAATTTGACATGGTTTAGGTAAATTCTAGGTGACTTATGACTTATTTGTACCCTTGACAACATTTTTTTTCATCAGAATAATTTTTTGAAAAATTCATGAAAAATTTACATAATTCTTCAGAAATGCTCCTCTAAGATACTATATTTTTCATAAAAACTCTGTAGGTGTGCTCCTTTAACTTTTCATATAGTAAAAATCGTCTTTAAAAATTCTTAAAGGTCAGTAATACACATGATACAAAACTATTTCTACTAAAAACAAACCAAGTGTCCATCACCCTTTGATAATAGACAGCAAAAATCACACACAGCAAAGTAACACAGATTCCTAGCTAATCAACACATATCAATAACATCTAGTCAAAAGAGAGCAAGTATTACATCAGTAACATATTGGAAAGTAAGAATAAAATGCTGTTTTTTTATGTTCAACAAAGCATGAAATTTATTAGAATTACTATGGAACACAAATGGTAACGTTATATAATACTGTATATACTTTTTAACTTTTTACAGTAATAACTTTATACCTAACTTTCCATCTAACTTTTCACCCACTTTATACCTAACTTAAACTCAGTCATATTCACTTTGTATTCTGTACCTAAGCATCCATTATGTATGAATAAATTTCATTTTTTGCCATGTTGATGCTGATAAAAGTTATATTGCAACATTCCAGCTTTACTTGCGAAAGAAGGCTTGACATTGTGCACAATGTCACTCACAAAAGTTAGCAATGGACACCAGAGTAGAACCACCTACCCTTCGCAGCTAGCTAGATGTGTGCCTGTTTTTGGTTTGTTTGATTTTTTACATCAATTTTAAGACATCTTTTGGTACTATCTTTGTGATTGGTCTACCTAACCAGCTTTCCTGGATAACTAACCAGTAATTACCAATTCCTCCACAAGTGACCGACTACTTTTCTCACATGATTTCTGAATCAGCTGTGAAAGACAAATGACTATTAGACTCATTGTTCAAGCTCAACTGACACATAGAAACTATGCTGCGTCCAAGGCTCAATGTAGCAACTCCAACATTACTTAACCAATGCTTTCCAGATTAAGCCAATCCAGCAAACCCCTATTAAGCCACTAGAGAGACCTGCAAATGTCAGTGACTTTAACAATACTGCTAAAAAGCTTCCTATGTTGTAAGTTAAAGGTTATACAATGTACGTCATATTGCACAAAACCTGGTCAACCCAGCTTTAAATATTTACATTTTTCATAATCTTCTGTTGATAATATACATACGAACCTTTTTCCAATTAAAAAGATTGTCAAACAAAACAGTACACAATGTGAAGGAAGCAGTGTCGAGGTTGAGCATTATTTTATATATATTAAGTTAACATATACATGTATATATAAATTTAGATGATTATAAATAAAGTGTATGTACGCCCATATGGTCCATTCCGATGGCGGAGGTAAACAAACACACACACACACCATGACCCAATGCCTTATCCAGTATCCTGGCTGTCACACAAAAATAGATATGACCAGATAACCCAGTTTATTCACACAAAGATGTGTCACACAAGACACCATGACCAGGTATCAACCAATAAAAATATTATAATTCTTACAGGTCCTAGTCTATCGTCATCCACATAATATTCCCCTGCTATTTCAAACAACTGAAAAAATCATGTTTACTTATAATGATTTACCATCATGTTTTATCATCATGTTTTCAAAATGTTTTGCCATCATGTTTTCACATCATATTTTACCATTATGTCTTATAATTATGTTTTACCATCATGTTTTCAAAATGTTTTGCCATCATGTTTTCACATCATGTTTTACCATCATGTCTTATAATTATGTTTTATCATCATGTTTTACCATCATGTCTTATAATTATGTTTATCATCGTGTTTTACCATCATGTTTTGTCTTCATGTTTCACAATCATGTTAACTATCAAAACTCACCCTGTATAGCAACCACTTTTAATCATTTTGTCTTCCCATCATGTTTTACCATCAAATTTAAACAGCATGTTTTAACCATCTTTTCTTTAACATCATGTTTTACAACATCATGTTTTATATCATCATGTTATACATAATATTAACTATCTTATTAACAATCTCGTTTTACAATTATGTTTTATCATCATTTTTGTCACAAATCATAAAGTTTAACAAACAAATAAAACTGCTTCAAAGAAACATCTAATTAGGTGCATGTAAATTACATTTTTTTTCTAGTATTTATTATTTCAGCTAAAGGGGTAGATAAAAGAAAATGTTAATATTTATAAAGCTACATGTTAGCTAGTATGTTATGTTAAGATATTTTTTAAGATACTTGGGTAGTACATACTACATGTATAAAGTATTATACATATAAATAACAATATCTTTGACTGGTACAATTCAAAAATTTTAATTTGGAAATTCAATGCTTTGAAAATAGATTATATCAATTTTTATAATACTGCATGTTTGTAATGTCGCTTTTCATTGGATAATTAATCACGATGTTTATACAATTTTAAATAAATGTATACTGTAAACAGTTGTTTTTTTGTTATATATTTTTTCAATATAAATTTATTTACTCAAAACATCAATTAGCATAGCTAGTCTGCAATCCCACAGCCTGTTAGCAATTTTAGCATGTTCAAGAATTGGTAATTATTTTTTTACGTAATTAATTAGAATATTCATCTACAACTATATGTGCTGAACCAAAAAAAAAAGAAAAAAAAAAATAAGAAAAAAAAAAAAATTAGCATGTTTTATAACAAAGAATCAGCTATATCTACTAAATTAGCACAAAAAATAGCTTATTCAAACCTCTACTAATCATGGTGTAATAAAGACATGTTAGCAAAATTTAGAACATTGTAATTAAGAATCTACGATTAACAGAATCACTAAACAAGAGATGCCAGTGAGACGGTGTGCTCGATTATTCTTAGTGCCTTATAGTAAATTTTGAACGAATCAGTTAAGCAGAGAAATGTTTTAAGAGACTGATCTAAGATGAAAAATTTTTAAATGGAATTTTCAAAGTTTTCAAAGGGCTATAATTCAGCAAAAATCCAAGTAAGAGTTATGGGTCTTGCACAGACAATTTCGATCTACAACACGGTGCAGAATTTTGTTTTAAGTCTATCTCCTCAGTAGATGTGGAAATGTATCTTGCTTGAAACAGTAGCAAAGGTGAGTAGAGTACCTCCACTATTATTTGAATAGTCGAGCTAAAAAATGAATTTAATAGCATATTTAAGCATCTTTTTACCACCTACTGTTAAACACTATGTTATTTGGTTACTTGCCTGTTCTTGTACTTGTAAACCCTATAAAAATGTCCACATTCATTTTTGAAAGCATATTAACACTAACTTAATACACAATCAGTGATTTTTAATAACCGAATTTATATAAGTTAGTCTTAGAAAGAACAATACATCCAAAACAAAGCCATTAAAGGAACTCAACTGAGGTACAAAAGCCTAAAAACATAAAATTTGAATTTCTTACATATAGATCAGCTGGGGCTCTTACAACAAAAAGATATGCAAAAGATAGGTAAAAAATATAACTCAGAAATAAATATATAATTGAATTTTTGTGCTATATAATATCTTGGCTCTTTGGATCATTTTTCACAATAAGACAAATTATTCTGGAAAAATTAAGTCAGCGAATGAACTGAAATTTTGGACACAACTTATTTGTCTAGAGCTTCAATAGTATAATTATTCTAGAGCTAGAATATTAATCTTGGGGAAAAAAAATTTCCAGCGCTGTCATGTCAAAAACTTCAGTGAAGTCCCTTTAAGCCAACAAAAATTATATAACACAAAGAAATGGGACCTCTTGCAGCTTTAGAAATTTACAAAACTTTATTTTAAACATACTCATTTCAAAATATTATGATGAAGGCAATAATTATTACTCTCATTAAAGTTTCCTTCCTGGAATCAACCAGTACTGGCACCATTTTGAAGAAACGACTGGATGAAACCCCAGGAGGGCTCAAACCCATGATCCCTGGGTTGGGAGGCAAACACTTTAACGACTAAGCCAGCAATCACAAAACTTTCACAATTTCACAGTTGTTTTTTACCATTGAAGGCAATAATTCTAATTATATACATTTTATGTTTCTGTATCTAAACAGAATATTCATTATCTGATAACACTGTTTCATTTTGCAAAATTTAATTTAATATAAGCACAAGAACTTGATTTAGCCCCAAAGTTCATTAACAACATTTTTAGCAAGAGATCTCATTTATCTAAAATACACCCAATAAACATATTTTAAGGCTTCAAACATTTCTTTAATTTTAGATCTTACACACAAATAAAATACAATTAAACTGAAACAAAAACAAAATATAGCTTTGGCATCAAAAACATTAAAAATTCGGTCGAAACCAAAGCTGAAATCAAAACAAACTGTAACAAATACCTAAATGTATTATAAATTCAGCATCAAATTAAACTGTTAAAGTTGCAACACAAAACTGAAATTAAAAGAAGCTGAAACTAAGTACATAAAACAAACATAGATTAATGAACATCCAACTGTTGGTACCTTTATTCCAACCCTCATTGTAAATCTGACCTATAAACAATACATGTAATTTAATTTAGTACAATTTTTACTCATTGACCTCTAGTGGCAACATTTGACCTCTAGTGGCATTATTTTACCTCTAGAGGCAATATTTGACCTCTAGTGGCAATATTTGACCTCTAGTTGCAATATTTGACCTAAAGTGGCAACCTTTGACCTCTAGTTGCAACACTTGACCTCTAGTGGCAATATTTGACCCCTGGTGGCAACCTTTGACCTCTAGTGGCAACATTTGATGTAATATTGTGAGATAACTTCAGAGACGAGAAAATTATTATCATTTAGTTAGTATTTTTAAAGACTTTTACACTCAAAAGTTGTTACCTGTAAAAATTTATGTTTTACCACAAAATCTGATTAACTTGAATGCATATATGTGTAAATAAATACAAAGATAAAGCTGTGTAAAAGTTTTTTAAAGATCAATATAGTTTGCATATAAAAAGAGGTGAAAGGACAGATAATCTACAAAAAAGTACATCTAAATGTTATTTAAGTGATGACTAAAAATATACTGTTATTTTGAAAAATAAAATATATCTATTTCTAAGCTTGAAACCACTTCTATATTAGTAATTGTGAGGGCTCTTTTTATTCCTGGTATTTAAATTCAAGTTGGTCCAAAGATGCCTTATGGGCATATATGGCACAAATTAAAGTGCTCAACTTGTCCTTAAACTGGATTCAAAATAGGTTTTGCTTTTCAAATTGTTAACCAATGAATCAATGTTCTTTTTAATCCCTGAACCTGCTGGAACCTATTCCCTTTGCCAACTGTATAGAACCAGGCCAGCCTGCACATCTGTGCAGATCAATCAGGTTCCACCAGGCTCTGTACTGTTGGTAGCTTAATCTTTCTTCATACACATATTTTGATATTGAAATCCCTTTAACATGAAATGGACTGATCCAAATTCAAAGGTGGGTAAATCCATTTCACAAATTCAGCAGGTTTAGGGTTGAAAATTGTTTTGAGAAGAATGAAAAAAATAATAACAAACCTTGGTCTGGGCTTGAGCATTATCTAACTTCCTGGTGGACATTTCTTTATCAAACTGACTCTCTGTGAGATTTATCTCTAAACGAGATAATTTTGTACGTAATTCTACAATTTTCTCATCTCTCCTTGTAATTTCCTCTTGTAGAACACTAGTATGGGCCTCATTGTCCTGTGCACTTTTCTATTGGTTAGTAAAAATAGAATAAAATGCTAAAAATAGATTACAGAATCTAAGCTATAAATAGATGAAGAATCTAAAAATAGATGACAAGTATTTTCAACTGGTGCAATAAGTTGAGGGATTTTTTTGTTGTTTTTTTTCTTTGATTTTTTGTTTTATTTATAAATATATTTCAAACCTTTGATCAAAATAGTCACACCTTCACATATGGCTGAGAAATTATTCTAAAATTTTATTTCTGAACATCGAAATTAAGAAAATTTACTAGAAATTGCAACAGTAACTGCTGAAGGCCAAACATTTTTAAAAATACTTGTCTGGAACAGATTCTTTTTAAAAGATATTTTAGTATTGTAAGTATTAAATGAATATTATTCTATGGTTTAAAAAGTAATTATAAAATTTTCCTTCTAACAAGTGTTAGTAGTAATTAAAGAATAAATAAGAAATGGTACTAATTAATCTAATGTGAGAAAGAAATTGGTGACCTATTTACTCTACTTGGCTTTAGAAAATAGCTGTGCACAAAATATATATAAGAGCTATATTGATACATTTTCAGAGAGTAACACTTAATTATATTACACAAATCTAGAAAGAGAAAACAAGAGGGCCATGATGGCCCTGGGGTCGCTCACCTGAACATAGGCCCCCAGGGCCGGGCCAGTTTAAACCAAAGGGCTTTTATTTGAACAAACTTGGAAGACACCCATTAAAAGATATTTCATGATGTTAAGTTTTTACTATACACAAATAATGAATAACAATGACTTTTGCCCCCTCCCCCCTCTCCCTGGCAGGGCAAATTTTGACCCAAGGGCTTTTATTTGAACAAACTTGGTAAACATCCATTAGAACATGTTTCATGCTAAATATCTTAGCTCTAGCTCTTTTGGTTCTTTAATAGAAGATTTTTAACTTTTTACTCTATGTATATAGGGAAAATCAATGACCCCCTGGGGCGGGGCCAATTTTGACCCCAGGCCTTTTATTTGAACAAACTTGGTAGACACTGATATGAAGATGTTTCATGCTTAATATCTTAGCTCTAGCTCTTTGGGTTCTTTAAGAGAAGATTTTTTTGAGTTTTTACTATATGCATATAGGAAAAATCAATGACCCCCTGGGGCGGGGCCAATTTTGACCCAAGGGCTTTTATTTGAACAAACTTGGTAGACACTTATTAGAAGATGTTTCATGCTTTATATCTTAGGTCTAGCTCTTTTGGTTCTTTAAAAGAAGATTTTTTTAAGTTTTTACTATATGCATATAGGGAAAATCAATGACCCCCTGGGGCGGGGCCAATTTTGACCCCAGGGCTTTTATTTGACCAAACTTGGTAGACATCCATTAGAACATATTAAATGCCAAATATCTAAGCTCTAGCTCTTTGGGTTTTTTAGAAGAAGATTTTTTTAAGTTTTTACTATATGCATATAAGGAAAATCAATGACCCCCTGGGGCGGGGCCAATTTTGACCCCAGGGCTTTTATTTGAACAATCTTGGTAGACACTCATTAGAAGATGTTTCATGCTTAATATCTTAGGTCTAGCTCTTTGGGTTCTTTAAAAGAAGATTTTTTTAAGTTTTTACTATATGCATATAGGGAAAATCAATGACCCCCTGGGGCGGGGCCAATTTTGACCCCAGGGCTTTTATTTGAACAATCTTGGTAGACACCGATTAGAAGATGTTTCATGCTAAATATCTTAGTTCTAGCTCTTTGGGTTCTTTAAAAGAAATTTTTTTAAGTTTTAGTATATATATGCATATAGGGAAAATCAATGACCCCCAGGTGCGGGGCCAATTTTGACCCCAGGGCTTTTATTTGAACAAACTTGGTAGACATCCATTAGAACATGTTTCATGCCAAATATCTAAGCTCTAGCTCTTTCGGTTTTTTAGAAGAAGATTTTTTAAGTTTTTACTATATGCATATAGGGAAAATCAATGACCCCCTGGGACGGGGCCAATTTTGACCCCAGGGCTTTTATTTGAATAATCTTGGTATACACTCATTAGAAGATGTTTCATGCTTAATATCTTAGCTCTAGCTCTTTGGGTTCTTTAAAAGAAGATTTTTTTAAGTTTTTACTATATGCATATAGGGAAAATCAATGACCCCCTGGGGCGGGGCCAATTTTGACCCCAGGGATTTTATTTGAACAATCTTGGTAGACACTCACTAGAAGATGTTTCATGCCAAATATCTAAGCTCTAGCTCTTTGGGTTTTCTAGAAGAAGATGTTTAAAGTTTTTTCTTTTGGTTGCCATGGCAACCAGAGTTCTGCATGGAATGGAATTCTTTGAACAACTTTGTTAAGGCTTCACACAAGGAACATCCCTGTGAAGTTTCATAATGATCTGCCTTATGGTTTCAGAGGAGATGTCGTTTGAAAAGTGTGAACGGACAACGTACGACGGACGACGTACGAGGGACGACGGACGAAGAGTGATCCTAATAGCTCACCCTGAGCATATGCTCAGGTGAGCTAAAAATAGCTATATGTAATCCAATTGCTATAGAAAGGAAATAAAAATATATAATAAAACTTCTAAGTGAAAAAGTATTTGAGATTCAGGACTTTGAACAATTAATAACTTATTGTCCTCAGTGTTGTTGAAAGGTGTGAGGGGTTTCGTTCAATGAACGCCGTCCTTCCTTGTTGATCTTGTTTTTCATATTTTACAATTGAAAAAAAGTAAATAAATAAAAATCAACTTATAATGGGCTATGTGGCTGATAAAATATAAATGATCAAAATATAAAAGATTATGAGTTTTAACATTTATTGCGGAATCAATGTTTTTCTTATAAAAAAAAGCTGCTATATTCATTTGTTATCAGATATTGAGTTAAAATAATAAGATTTGAATATATTGTTGCAATAAAAGTTATGGTAGATTCACAGAAAGAAGGATTCATGAATTTTTCCATATTTGAAATGTATTTAGGCTTTTTAAATTGTAATGTTACTTTATATTTTTGATTCACAAAAATATCCGCTTTATAATACATTAATTCATACAGTAAGGTATAGAAAACATAAACCCTTTAGTTTCAACTTCACACAGGAGTTTTATGCACTTGGAAAACTGTCAAAATTGTTCTAACCAGTTCATCAAAAAAGTCAAACTAATAAAAAGGCACACACAGAAAAAACAAGTTCAATACTAGAGATTAGAAATTTTAACATTAAAAAAAGCAAACCTGTACCAAACTAAGAAACAAAGAAGGATCCATGTTAGCAGTCTTGATAATAAAATATTACAAAAATTATTAAACTTGTCATAAAATGATGGACCAAAAGTCAATATATAATTATTTACCAGTTTAAGGAGGACTGATCAAGTTTAAAGATGGAATGGTCAAAGCTGATAATTAAACTTTGCATTACTGCAAGCATATCCTTAGAATCAAATTAAAGATCTAAGGAACCTTAATGAATCAGTAAATATCAGTTCATGTCAGGTAAAATTGCAATAACCAGAAACTTATCTCACCTACTTACCTCAGTTACCTATTTCTAGTAATTTATTTCACAAAAACGTTTTTTTTTATCACTGTAATGTCATGGTTTGGTAAAATACAAATATGGCTGCTCACATACATAGTGATCGAAATTCGCACAAGCCCGACAACAAATTAAGTAGGTTTTATCCTCAGGCTTCTAGAAAAGTCCTAATATTCTAGCCCGATACTCATTAGGGTACATAATCTTTGATAATTTATAATTTTAGTTATGAAGTAATTTCAATATAACAATAGAGTAAAGTCTTCACTCTATGTGTCTTTACTCTACGTTAAACATATGTAACCTGAAAAGCACAAGTAACGTCTTTACTTCGTCAACAGGAACTGGTTTACCTTGGCCGTTGAATAACCTGTCAAATTAAAATGAACGGATATGTATCAATGTTACTTTTGACAAGAGCTACTACAATTTAATTGTTACCTTAGCAACTTCAGCAGCTGTTTTATATCGCACAGCTTCTTGCGTTTTAGCTTCCAGTTGCTTAGCAACCTGTTGAAATTTTTCATCTTTTTCTTCAAGTTCTGAAACAATCAAATTAGCAAAATGATATAATTTTTAAAAAAATCTTTGATAGATAATAACATATCGTGTTATATTCTAAAAAATTGCTAGCCTGTGATCCATCTAAATTTTATGTGGGATACTTAGTCCTGAAGCTAGACCAATGCGATGGCTCAGCGCAATACTGGTCTAAGTGGCATTTTTACCAAAAATCACTTTTTTACATATTTTGATAATGTAAGATCAAATACACATTCTGTGAAAATTTTAGGGTTATTTATGCTTTTTTTGCCTTTTTTATTTACTTTTAAAATAAAAGTCTATCTCAGGTAGTTCAATTTTGTCAGTGCAATATAGGTCTAACTTGAGTTGGTCTCTTATTGCGATGTCAAATATATCAATTTTCCTCAAAAATGCTTGAGTTAGACCTTAAATGTTTCATTTCCAGGTACAGAATAATATGCATATCCCATTGAAATGTGTTATAAAGAATGTGAGAATTCATGAAAACACTAGAAATTATTTGCCTCCATCAGTGCTTTGTATAAATCGCAAAATATTAGCCAATTGCATATCATGTACAAGTAACTGTAAACGAAAAAGCTTGAAAAAAAAAAATAATAATTTAGTGTCACAATTAAACATTTATTTTGTCTTTGAAGTTATTACATCATACTCATACTGTATTATTTGATAACATAAAGTGCAGTTGAAACTATCAATTTTGTACAATTTAGTAAAAGACAGTGTATGTTTCTCATGCACACATTTAAAATGGAAAATAACACGTGTTACACTAGTGGATTCATAATCTCTGACCCCCTTCTAAAAATTCATTTTTTTTTTTTAGTTTGACCTTTGTTTAATCATATGCTGAGATTTCCTAATTCTTAATTTTATTCTTTGTTCATATTTATATAATGTGTTCTGCTTAAGATGGTGTAAGGGGGTAGACTGTACATTGTTTCACTGCCAAATCAAACTTAGCCTGTAACACAATGAACAATTTCAGGTTTGAGAGCGTTCTTGGGTTTTTATTTTTAAAATATGTATCTACTTCTGTATCACTCTCTTTAATCAAGTAAAGTTATTTAAGAAATAATATATCCCAAACTGATTTTATTGCTCATTAACTGTTTGGAGTTCGGATGCGAGGAATTATATCACGAGGGCGTAGCCCGAGTGAAATGATGTGCATCCAAACAACAAACAGTTAAATGTTATCAAGCAATAAAATCACCGATTTGGATATATTATTTCGATTCTAACACGACATTAACATATAAATGCTGCCGTACCTGATATTTAGCTAAATTGCGCCTGATTTGTTTCCGTTCTTATTGTCAGCGCGTCACATTTTTAGTGGTTACGTCACGTGTAAAATGATTACGTCAAACGTCTAAATATAGAACGTCAAACAGTGACTTTATAGCATAATAACACACACTTTCAGTTCTTCTATGTTCAATAGGGAAAAATGCGGGTCGTGTTAGAAATATAAACTTTACACTATCAACTCAAACAAAACAATAACAACATAGTGTCAACATGTGCAAATCACACTCTTCACAATACTTATACAACTGATCATTCTAGGATACATGTATAACAATAACATACTATGATAACCCACTGTGTACTACAAAATGATAAATAAAAAACCCCGAAGAGCGCGATTTATTGACGGAAAAGGTTATTTCATTTGAAAATGTTTGCATTGCGAAATTCTCAAGTTCGCTATTCATTGTAACATATCGCGACAATTCATTCTTAATTAATAATCAAGCACCCTTATACTGATCGGAATGATCGGCTTTTATTATGACCGACTAAAAGGCTCGAGAAGTTGCTGTCGCCCTTTCACAAAATCTGATTTCATTCCATAAGGGCGCCGCGCTTCGGCGCGGACGCCAATTATTGATACAATATCATTCTGTCTGATGTGAATCATGTGATATGTGCAGAAAAAAATCAAAATATGCACACTTATATATTATAATAACCTTTTCAGTTTTTGTATTCTGATAATTTTTTACATCAAACAGCTCCATTGAATTTTCGAGAGTGCAATTGTCAAAAACTTTTGACTTATGTGGCAGAAACAGCTATAAGTTGATAAAAATGTTTCATTTTAGATCTAAAAGTCATTAATTTTACCTATCAAATTTAATGAAATTAAAAATGTAATGACTATCAACTGCTTTTGGTATAGTATCAGTGTCAATGAGAAAATTCAAACATTTACCCATTCTAATTGTTTAGTGCTAATCTAAGGTATGCACATGGTGCTTTTCAGGTGTGCGCCCCTAAATATCTGAATGAGTATGTTTAAAGCACATCTAACTTTACAAAAAATGATTCTGAATTACATCATGTGCTAATATGAATCCCTGATAGTGGGTTGTACTGCCCTACTTTTTTCTCTAAAATATGTTTGACAACCTCTTGTTATTTGGTCAAAATTTAGAGGTAAAATGACTTTGATATATAAAATGAAACACTTTTCTGAAGATATGCAGTTTTCAGCAAACCATGTCATAAAATTTGCACATTACACTTTCAAAATATACTCTAAACAGTTGAGAAAAGTAAATACAAAAGTTGTAATAAAAGCATGGTCTAACAGCGGTTTTCATTTTTGAAAATATTTGATATTTATAAATGATTATATCATCAGAAAAGAGGACCACATACATTAAATTCAATAAGATTTAGCGCATAACAGTAATATCGGAATCACAGCATTAAAGCACCAATGGTGGTAATGGTGTGCATTGAGAAAATAAAATGTGTCTTCTTTGTACAAATGTGAGTTATACAAAATGTACATTCCCTGTTTGATATCATAATATATACCTGGATCGTCAGTCATCATTGTTCATTACTACTGTTCACTATATGAATCAAAACTGTGTGCATTTTGTTTAGAATTCAAATTTATTGCACAGATAATCTGCAAAAGATTTTAAGTAAATCTGAATCTCAAACAAATTGAAAAAGGAGAAAGAAGTGTACTTTCATCTAAAGTCAGCTCGCATGATATATTAATAGAAAAACATTAAAGAATTTAGTCTTTGTAAAGTTCTTCTTCAGACTTGCAAAATATTTGAAACAATGTTTAAATTAACAAAACAATTTTGTTCAAAATTTATAATTTCATTTATATCAGAATATTTAACATAAAACAGGTCTAACTCAAATATTTGTACCACTTTTACCAAATTGCAAGAGGGAATTTGAGTCTAACTCAAGTTAGTCTTGTATTGCGCTCAGAATTTCAGCGCAATAAAGGTCTAACTCTAAAAAAAACAATTTGTAACATTTTCATAAAAAATTATATAAATGGCATTATTTCTTATTATAATTAATGTTAACATAGCAAAAAAAATATTTTCTAATATAAGTATTTTTGAATAAAATCAGTTTTTTGTCTCTCCTGAACATTTTCAAAAATAGCAGTTAGACCAGTATTGCACTGAGCCATTTATGGTAATTTTATTTTTGTTGATGAGTGCAAATTGTGATATTGCTAGGTTATGGAGTGGTCTTTAAATTTGTAAGGTGTAAAGCACAATTAAAGGTGACGTCTGATTCAAAGATTTGAGTTGCAGTAGCCGATAATTGAACTCGTGATCACTCTATCTATAGCTGCAAGGTGTAAATCTTAATCACTATCATAGGGGACCTCAGTGTTGTTAAGTCAAATTTAATTTAACTTTAAGTAATTTGAAATCCAGCAGCAGAGCACCCTTGCAGAAATATATACTGGCATTTAAAAAGTCCCAGTATTTCCCAGTTATTATCCTAGAAAATTCCAGAATGTTAAAACCAGTCTTGGCTATTCTAGTATGGCCTAGGAAATACCAGTTACTGAGAACTAGGCATTTCTAATAATTTTTAAACAACTCATCAATTTCTAAGTTATACTAGGAATTGTAATTTATTTTCTGAGATTTCTAAGACTTAAGATTTTGCAAAATTCCTAGTCTTTAGGAATAACTTAGAATTAATCTTGTAGAACAAAATCCTTAACATCTGTGCTAAATTCCTTGAATCTTACAAAAATTCCTAAAGACTAGGAATTCTCTTTGTTGAAAGTAAACATGCAAGTAAATAAAGAAGGAAGACAATAAAATTGAAAATAAAAATTTTTTCTTTCTTTTTTTTTTTAAATAAAACAACATACTGACCTAGATCTATTTAATAATATTTTTCTAGGATTACTATTATTATTATCATTTAATTGAAATTTAATAATCAATTGACCTTAATTTATGACAATTTTATCATAGGCCATTTAATTAATAGATAGTAGGAATATATAATCGCAAAAAAGAAATAACAAATGTACAGGCAATCCAAGTAAATCAAAGACGTATTTTATAAACCTTTAGAAGCAATCAATAATTGACACCATGTAATTCTTATCAGTTGTGTATAGCTATTTTAGCGCTGTCAAATTGCATCCACTGATGTCATGCTTCAGTGCACAGGCTGTGTGTATAAACCACTTTATACACGGCTTACACTGCCAGGAGTGTGATTTGAACACATGTAGATCTAATTAGGGGTGGATTTAAGGTGATTATTATTGCATAGTTGAAAATCCCATGTGGCAAATTGACTCTTGTGCAGATTTTTTCACGTGTCAAATTTGTGCATTTCCAAGTTTTTACGAGTCAAAACCCGAATCCCCGCATCAAATTAAAGTAGGCCTATAATTTATGTGGCAGGTCATATTTATGCTGACGGAAATTAACGATGATAACTTAGTCTTTACTTAACCAGCGAACCTTTACGTTTATACTCGAGCAATATCCGTATATTTACGCTAACCAAGACGAGCATAATTTCATGACGTATTGGATACGTATACTGATGACGTAGCAACACAATTGTTTTGGAAACTACTGTAGCTTTGTATGAATTTCAAGCGCTTGTTGGGCTTAAAATAATAGATTTGTGAAATAAAATTCAACGATATAATTGAAATTATTCAGTCATTGTATTGACGGCAAAA